TGAGCTGAATTATGAACTTTTATAACGTCTGTGTTGATTAGAGACACATTTACTATGTAAGTGTTGCATTCAATTTATTTATTGCAGTTGGTGTTTTTAACAATATAGTACATTTAGCGAAAGAAAAATTTTGTTATGTCAACTGTCAACTTTTTCAATTGAAGACGTCTCGGAGGAGCTAACTACAATGAAAGTACTCTGAAACTAACACGCGTATCTGCTTACAGTCTCTGTTAGCTAGCTAGGCAGTTCAATAGCCTAACTACTGAACTGCACTAAGCAAGGACTGTGCCTGAGTCATATAAGTATAATCGTTCAAACCCCAATGGCTGTTTTCACACCTCTTAGCATACAGGCTATCACTATTGTTTTCTTTGTTTTGATGTAAGTCTGAGGATGGAGTTGTAAATAGGATGTGTCTGAGGTCTCCATTTCTGTTCGAAAGATTGATTGTCTTTCTTAACAAAAATAGCTTCTTTAACTCCCCTCTCAAACCATTTCTTTTCTATGGCTAAGATCTGTACCTCACTGTCCTCAAAGGGGTGGTTAGAGACTTTTAGGTGGAGAAGTACAGAAGACTGAGGTCCACTATTGCTCTCTCGTCTGTGTTGGTACATCCTCTTATGAAGCGGCTGTTTAGTTTTGTTTAGTGAATGGAATAGATCACATTGTTTTGTTTGTGGCTCAGTGTTTTGTCCTTTGGGTGGACGAGTTTCTGTCTTAAAGTGTTTGTGGGTTTGAAATAGACTCGACTAGACTAGATTTGTTGTCTGAAAATCCTCTATAGTTTTTCAGAAACACCATGTATGGAATAGTTACAGCCTTTCTCCTGGGTTCTCATTCTCCATTGTCTTGTATTTTAGCTCTCTTTGTTCTATTGAAAGCCCATTTTGGATAGCCACAGAGAGTGGTTTTTACACATGTCGTTCTTCTTTCTCCTTTCCCTCTGTGCTTGTAGGAACCCCTGGGACCCTGTGTTGCAATGTCGAAGACTCCAAGTTTGTGCTACAGTAGATGTTGTGAATCAACACGCAGGTATTGGTCAGTGTGTGTGGGCTGCCTGAAGACTTCTACCTAGAGTCACCGGTCTTCTGTTGTTACAGCATCTTCACGAGTGAATTTGATGTTAGGATCTACAGCTTTAATATGTGCAGTCAAGGGTTCCAGGTCTTGAATTCTAATTTTAATCAAATTATCGTCAACATAGCAATACCAATGTGTGGTGGAGTGCCTGGAAAAGAAGCCCTTTACTGCACATATTAATGCTGTAGATCCAAACATCAAATTCACACAGGAAGACGCTAAGGAGAACACATTTGCCTTCTTAGATTGTGTAGTGACAATAGTAACCAAATACATTTTAGTAGAAATATTTCTTTGTTAAAAAACTTCCTGTGCAAAGTCAATATGGAATAAATCTATTTTAATCATCAAAACTGTGAATATGACAAGTGTATTAAATAAACATGTTTCCTTTAAGTAAATATGCAACACAATCAGCCACTCACAAATTTTTTTTCCAAAAGATCCAAAAAAACAAAACAAACAAAAAAACAAACAAACTGATTGATTGGTGAGTATTTAGTTTTGACTCTAGTTTTAGAATCTTTAGTATCTAACTATCAATTTCTGACAACCGTATATTATACACATAAAAAACATGGCTTATAAAACTTAACTTTATCTGACAAACATACATGGACATTAAAATATTGCAAACGTACACATTGTATTATTCACTCCAATATATAACACATAAACTGAAAAGACATATCTGCTGAGGGACACCAATCTAAAAAAAAATAAACAAAAAAAACATTTGATGATATATCAATATATAGATCATCCCAGGATACCAGGATAATGATACTATATCAACAAATTTACTATCACAATATTTTGATCTTTTAATATTTTTGCATATCCCTAATTAACATGTAATGTGTAAAGCACTTTGTGAAAACATAAAAACATGACTTATAAAACAGAAATTTATTTGATTGACACACATACATGTACATTAAACATCGCAAAAGTACACATTGTACTATTCACACCAATATATAACAGATAAACTGAAAAGACATGTCTGATGAGCCAAATTAACATGAAAAAGTCATGTGATCAGTCAGACAGTAGCACAATAAATCTTGTGTAAAAAATGTCATATAGTTACTTTTAGCAGTTTAATAATCACAAAATGTACACATCCAACCACTCACAACACTGTATTGTGTTGTCAGAACATCTAGTCGAGCACAGAGCCGTAGACCTCCACCTCACACACATGCAGGTACTCTATCCGTCCTGGGATCACTATGTTAACGTACCGACCGTCCATCCCATCACAGTTAAACCCCTGAGTGAAACCTGAAGGAATATTTCTGATGACTGCACACCTGAGAACACAGAACAGGTCATATCTTTAACATAAGAGCATAGCATAGTTTTGTTTTTTAATCTTTTGTTTTTTTTAAGCTCAGTTTTTAACATCACATCATGGGATTTTAACCAACTAAAAAGTGCAGCATGTGCAGTTCAAAGAACACATGTGAGGGACTGTTGGATTGTGTGAAATGAGCTCTTTGTTTTCCCATAGGGGACATCTGAGATGCTACAGGCTTTTTACACCATATGTGCTGCAAATGTGGCAGATCTGAAACACAAGGACACAGTAAGAATGAGTCCTTTTCCTGTTGTGTTCACCTGGATTCCCTGGACTCTGCTGTGATGGTGCAGGCCCCCCCTCACACACAAAGGTGACTGAGAAGTGCAGTGAAAACTTTAAATTCCTTCAGGATCAATAAAGTCTCTCTCTTCTCTCTATTATCTCTCTCTCTTTTATAACAAATTTACCATTGCTTGTTATGCTAGCTGTGGCATGGAGCTAAACAATCTAAGCTTTCAAACTAGATATAAAGATATATAAACACAGATATATTCCCTGGTGGACCAAGGGTGACCGTGACTCTAGTAAAGAGACATAGTTATAATCTATAATCTAGTGTATTGTGGTCCAAAGCAAAAGAAATGATCTGATAAAAGCTTTTGCCCAAATCTAATCTAAAAAAAAAAAGTTTCGTACACTGGCCATTTGAGTGTGCAGTGCTATTTTCACTTTTAAAGGGCCAATATTACTTTCCTATCTATGTTATAATGTTTACTCATCAAAAACAGACCTGGAGTTGTGTTTTGTTTGATTTGCACATGTTTAACACACAAATCCTGCATATTTAATCTGAAACAGAAAATACTCTATTCCACATTGTGATGTCATGTAGTGATACAGGAAGTGCTGCAGTGTGCATTTTACACTCCACACACCTTCACTAGAATCATCCGAATAATCAGCCCTGGAATTTATGACACCCATGGATCATTATTTTATATTTGGATGTGAATGGCTAAGCAACAGTGCACTATATAACTTTTTGGTTGGTGGTATGTCAACTGCTTGTTTCTAAGGATATATCATTGCTCTGCCTGGAATGTTCCACATGACATTAAATAGATCTACCTTAAATTTGTAAAATTACAGAAAAAAATGTATTCTGACTGTGAGCGGGGTCGCCTCTCCACAGATCTGACCTGTAACTTGGTCTGGTTTGGTCTCCATGAAGATACAAAAGGTTTAATGCCACATTGTGAAATATTCCAGACAAAGCCATAACATCTCCATGGAGAAAATATTTAACGGGCCTTCCACCGTAAAAGTTACACAACGCATCTTTAAATTAAATTAGCTTACCTTGGGTTGTTGTTGCCATTGTTTTCAAGGGAATCTCCAATGCGAATCTCTGCTCCATTCAGTCTTGCGGAATAAATTCCATTCGCATTGGTTACATTTACGGTGAAAATCCTGTATGTTTTCGCCAGATCCAGTCTCCACCAGGGGTTCAGATCATTAAACGTGTGAGTATTTGTCATACGGTTTCCATCTGTAGCTTGGATAGCTGCCCATAGCATGTTATTGGCATATATTGATGATTGTGTAGCTCTTCCCTTGAAGGCCAGATTTTCTCCTGCACAAAAAGAAACACAGAGAACTTTGATTTTGTCTACAGGAACCATGTGCATAAATCCAAACCTGTCAAAGAAAAGAAAACAAAAAAACTTCTTAAAAGTGTACTGTGTAACTTTTCTGGTGGAGGGTCTGCCATCTGCTTGTCTCCATGGAGATGTTGTTGTTTGCTCTGCCATGTCATGTAAAAACTGATGGACTCTCCACCAGGAAAATTACGCAGTGCACCTTTAACCTTTTTGCAATTTGAATAATAAATCTGACCGGTTGGTGCACGGTATCCATAGACCTCCACTTCACAGAGGGTCAGTTGCCTGTTGATTCCTGGTAGAACCACATAGACATATCGGCCCTCCACTCGTCTCCTGAGGGTGATGGTGAGAGAGCGGCCTGGTGGGATGTGTGGGAGCACCGCCACTCTGAGGAACACACAGGAATATAAACTTAAAGTGCCTATGACAGGTTAGACCAGGCATGTCCAAACGGCCCTCAGACAAATTTTTCTTGGCCCTCAAGCTTCCAGGAGAATTGGCCCAAATTACCTTGCATCAATGAAAAATGTACTTTTTATTGCAAGTTTTTTTTTTTTTTGAAAATCTACCTTGATAAAGCCAATATTGAATATTTAGTGTGTGGTTTTAAGGATTTTAGCATGAATAAAGGACTGATGGCTCATTCTAACGTGTTAAACATGCACATATTTCAATTATTCACTGTACTGAGCATCAGCCTGTGGCCCTCAATCGGCCCTCTGTTTCATCTGTGTTTAGGGATGTGGCCCTTGATGACATCCCTGGGTTAGACCAATGTTTCCCGAAGCCTTGTCATGATCTGCATGTAAGTCTGCAATATACATGTACATGTACATACATCTCCATGCACCTCCCCGCTTCTCACACCTTCACCCCCGATCCTCACTTTTTCAGCAGCGCCGCCTTGCCTAACCAATGTTCTGTGTGACTGTTTTTCATTGTTTAAAACTTGGGTAATACTAATTGTTCAGACATGATCACTCAGTCAACAATAAAATATCCTCATTAATGTTCAATAATGCTCACAAATTTATTTTGTGATTGTCTATTGACTTGGGTCGTGAAGATTTGTGACTTTTAAAATATAGGTCCCCAGAAAAAAGTTTGGGAAACACTGGCTTAGACTAGTCATTTTACCAAAACACAGTTAAGATAATTATATTTAAGATTTAAGACAAAATTTCACTATTTTTTACAAGTGTGGCTCATTTGTAGTTTTTAAATTTTACTTCCTGGTTAGAAAACATGACACCATGCTATGAAATTCAATTACCGTTATGTAGCAACTGTGATGGACTTAATTGTTATTTGACAAATAAAAAGAAGAAGAAGAAAAAAACTTGTACAAGTACAAGTAAATTATATATATTTTCCACCTTTTCTTTGCAAAGTGCTTCTTGATTGGTGTAAAACTATAATTTATATTATATTATCAAAATTAGATAATCATAAAAACCTATCATAAGCACTTTAAGTTCATGTCACAGGTTTTCATGTTTTTCTAATTCTTACTTAAGTTAGCTGTGTAAACCGCTTTATAAGTATATAAATCGGTGGGTCTGTGAAAATGTTATTACTTTGAAAGGTTTCACAGTATGGCATTAAACCTTTATATCTTCATGGAGATCAAATCAGATCAAGTTACATGTCAGATCTGTGGAGAGACTACCCCACTCTCAGTCAGAATGTCTGTTTTTCTATGTATTTTAGAGCTGTAAAACCACCTGTAACTGAATAAATGTAAGGCAGAGCAGTTTAATGTCATACTGTGGAACATTCCAGACAGAGCAGAGAAATATTCATAGAAACAAGCAGGAGAGGGGGCCCTCCAGCAGAAAAGTTACACAATGCACCTTTAATAAATAATTAAATTGGTGGGGTAGTACTTGAGCTTAATAGTTATCATACTAGTTTTACATCAAGTAATGTTACCATCTAAATGTGTATTTGATTTTTTTCCCAGTAGATGGCCGATGTGAACTCTGTTCCCCCTCTCTGTTTCCTCTCAGCTTGTCTTGGTTAAGGTTCACCAGAGCTCTCTGCTCCTGTTCAGGCCAAAGGTGGCACACTATCAGACTGCAGTAAGGTAGACAGCATCTAGCGGTGGTATGTGAGAATACAACCGGTCGGGTCAGCCTGTCTAATTACAAATTCTAGCTGTAAGTTATGTATCATGTTGATGGAAATGTGGGATTGTTTTTAATCACTGTAAAGCACTTTGTGTTACATTTTTGTATGAAAAGCACTTTATAAATAAAGTTTGATTTGATCATTATTGACAAGAAAAGTAAGTAAATTGCGAAAAAAATAAAACAAACAAAAAAAAATCTCAGGGGACTCATTGAGCGATGAACTAAACTCTGTTAACCTGAGGTGAGAGAAATTTAATTTTATCTAAAATAAAAGGTGACCAATGAGCTCCTTTGTTTCTCATGTGTAACTGAAATCATCAGATGATACAAGTGAAATGATGTATAAAAATACAGACAAATATCATTCTGGATTTACTAAGTGGAAATATTGTGAATGAACATATTACCAGCCTTAGAGAGTTTCACTTACACAGGATTAGAATTCCCATTATAGTGTAACGAGTTGCCCACATTGATCTCAGCCCCGTCCAGTCTCTCAGGGCAGCAGTCTCCTCTATTTGTGATGGTGATGGAGGTGACGATGTAGGTCTCCAGCAGGTCCACTTTCCACCAGGGGTTTGTCTGCCACTTCGTCACAGCACAGGACCCTGCGTTGTAGTCAGATTCCCGGTTCCCATCGATGGCGTTGGAGGCTGCCGAATATTCACTGTTGTATCTGCTGGACTGCGTAGCTTTGCCACGAAGAGCCACATTTTCTAAGAAACGATAAAAACAAGGAAAATATAAACATTGTAATTGTTCTGGGGGACAAAATCAGTTGATACTTACTATAGGTACGGGCAGAGCATGTCGTCAAGGTGACCAAGAAAAACAAAACTATGATGTCCTTCATTTTTGCTAAAATACAGGGAAAAAAATTTAAAGGTGCTATCTTAAAAATGTAAAAACAAGTACAACTTACTGTGATCAAGATAGGATCTCTGTTAGTGTGTAGTGCAGTGACCAGAGGGAGCAGTATTTATACACATGCCTTATCTCTTTGAACTGTGGTTTTCAGTTTAATAATTCTTGTTGATATTGTAAAAATATACTGCACATGGGCAGCTTAATGTTTAGAGGATTTTACTGGAAGCCTCACTACTTCCTCATAATTATCGTAATTCATTTATCATAAAAATCTAAATATAAAAGTGAACGTTCGTACCCTCACAAAGACTTTGCATCATATCATAAAAGCCATGATCAGATTTCTTTAAAGGATTCATATTACCCATTTTATATTATTTTCTGGTCTGGTTATAATGTTGTTTCCTCATCACAAACAGACCTGGAGTTGTGTTTTGTTTCCTTCACATGTTTAACACAGAAACCCTGCACATTTAGACTGAGTTCTGCTTTCAAATGGATGTGATGTGATAATACAGGAGGCGCTCCACTGTGTTTTTAATCACCATGCACATTCACTAGAATAATTTAGATGATGTCAGTCCTGGAATTGTTAATCTCTGCTAAACAAAAGGCAAAAGGTAGCTAATAACCTGAAAACTACCACTACATGACATAACATACATTTAAACATACATTAAAGAGCTCATATAGACTCTACTGGGAGAAAGCCCTCCTCTAGGCTAAACAAGAGTCAGGTTTGTGCAGATGCAAGTCACTGTGAGTAAGGACACTTTTTTTTTCTGTTTTTCATTTAATTTTAAGAGTCTACCTTGTCTATACATACAGAAGAAATATATAAAGTAAGACATAGTAGGATGTATGGACTTATGCAGTTACATTTTTTATTTTTTGGACAAAGCAAAGGGTGGCTACTTTGAGGATTTGAATATCAAATGAATATCATATATATATAAAAAAAAAAAAAGTGTTTCTCACCTTCCACGGTGGTTGGTCTCTCACCCTCATTCAGCTCGGGTCGTCTACCAGAGGCCTGGGAGCTTGAGAGTTCTGCACAGTATCTTTGCTGTTCCCAGTACTGCACTTTTCTGGACTGACATGTCCGTTGTTTTTCCTGGTATCTGTTGTAGCCTCTTCCAGTTTGGGGGTTACAGCCCCGAGTGCTTCGATCACCACAGGCACCACTGATGCCTTTACTTTCCAGGCTCTCTCCAGCTCTTCCTTGAGCCCCTGGTATTTCTCTAGCTTCTCGTGTTCCTTTTTCCTGATATTACCATCGCTTGGTATTGTGATGTCCACCACCACGGCTCTGCTCTGTTTCTTATCCACCACCACTATGTCTGGTTGGTTCATCACCATCCTGTCAGTCTGTATCTGGAAGTCCCAGATGCGATATATATATATATATATATATATATATATATATATATATATATATATATATATATATATATATATATATATATATATATATATTACTTCATATATTTGATGTCTTTTGCATGTATAGACAATGCAGAAAATAGTAAAAATAAACAAAAAACAAAAAAATATATAAAATAAGAGGTGTGTCCACACTTTTTACTGGTAGTTAACTTGGTAAATATTGGATAAATAATTAGCTTGTGGGAGACTTCCTGGTCAAATAAATCACAAATAGTCGCAATAATAAGGACATAAACTGTGATAAGACACAATATAAATCATATTTTATAATTCTGTTTTATTAATGTCATATTGATATCATTGATTGAGTACAATGTTTAAAACCTTGAAAAGTATGATTAAAGCCTAAGCCTGCATTAATAATGATGTGATGTCTGTGAAGTTTTTTTTTTTTTTTTTTCCTTAAAGTTCCTTAAAACAGCTAAAACTGGATCTTGTTATTTAAAAGATCCAAATCTGTTTCTTTTTAGTTTTATGCATTTTGCTAATATGCTAAAGATATGACCTGTTCTGTGTTCTCAGGTGTGCAGTCATCACAAATATTCCTCCAGGTTTCACTGAGGAGTTTAACTGTGATGGGATGGACGGTCGGTACGTTAACATAGTGATCCCAGGACGGACAGAGTACCTGCATGTGTGTGAGGTGGAGGTCTACGGCTCTGTGCTCGACTAGATGTTCTGACAACAGAATACAGTGTTGTGAGTGGTTGGATGTGTACATTTTGTGATTGTTATTAAACTGTTAAATATATATGACATCTATATGAAAGTTTTTACACAAGATTAATTGTGCTTTAACTGTGCTTTTACAGTCTCATTGATCACATGACTTTTTCATGTTAATTTTTTCAGTTATCTGTTATATATTGGTGTGTTATTTTGTGATATTTTAATGTGTGTGTATGTGTGTCAATCAAATAAAGTTCAGTTTTAAAACCCATGTTTTTTATGTGTATAATGTACGGTTGTCAGAAATTGATTGCTAGATACTGAAGATTCTAAAACTACAATCAAAACTAAATACTCACCAATCAATCAATTTACATTTATTCACACATTGCTTTTCATACAAAACACACAGTGGTTTACACATTATATGTTAATTATGGCTGTGAAAAAATATTGAAATATTGAAATATCGTGATACTAAATTTATGTGATATAGTATCGTAATCCTGGGCTGATCGATATATTGATATATCACTCCTTTCAGTGCAGTGACATTGGAAAAAAAACAACCAGTCACTTCACAAGAGGATAAACCAACACAGACGAGAGAGCAATAGTGGACCTCAGTCTGCTGTACATTGCATAGTTGTACATTTAAAATATTGTTTAGGGACAATTCTGCTTCATGGTTCATGGTCAGAAGGAAAATTTCATGCATGTATTTAGTTGCAGTTCCCCAACACTGATGATGCGTTTTTCTGTTGTCATCTACACCAGTGTTTCTCAAAGACTAGGTTGCGATCCTCAAGTGGGTCGTAAGAGATGTTTTTTGGTCGCCTTGTCACAATCTGCCTGTACGTCTGCAATATACAGTTCTGACACATGAGAGCGCGAGTGAGGCAACGAATCCTCTCTGCCCTGAATTAAGTGTTTCTGCAGCTGTAGAGAAAAGATCAGTGCACTTCAGGATACTTATGGATATTTTTTATTTCTGGTTCAATTATTGATTGTTCAGAGACACGATCACAGAGTCAACAATAAAATATTCTCATTAATGTTCAATAATGCTCAAATCCACCTTTATTTTGTGATTTACGAATAATGTCTATTGACTTGAGTCGCAAAGGTGTGTGACTTTTAAAATACGGGTCCCAAGAAAAAAAAAAAGCTTGGGAAACACTGATCCACATAGTTTATTCCCCTCCCTTCCTGCTCTGTGCTTGGCCATGCTTTTGTGCTTGTGCTCCAGTGTATAATTACCTGCATTTTTCATCACTATGGAGTGTCTGATTGGGTTAAATGCAGAGAACAGTACCATAGAATCACCGTGTTGGCAGCACACCCCCGCACTAGAGATGCGCGGATTGCGGTTACAATCGCGGTATCCGCGGTTAATCCGCGGTTAATCCGCGGGTCGGGCGGATGACGTGACGAAAAATTATATTTTAATTAAATTCGGGCGGGTGGCGGTTTAACTACTAAAAAAAAATAATAAAAAAAATAAAAAAATAAAAAAGTTAATGTTAGTATTGTTACCTACATCTGAAAAGACGAGTCTCATTGTTTATGCTTGTAGTATGAAGTGTACGTCATATATCCTTAATTAGCCCATTTGACCTCGTTTTTATGTTCTGAAGGTTCAGGTTGTGTCGGGTTATTGATGCCTAAGGTTTACGAGGCACATATTATATGCAGTTTATTTTATTATTTCTAATTTATTTCAGCTTGTTTGCCAACACGTAAGTGGCTATAGGGCCATATTTATTTAGTTATGCTTTTTTTTTTTTTTTTTTTTTGATATCAGATATATTTTAAAACACGCAGACATTACAGCGTAGACTGCCACTCGGGTATTTAAAACTTAAATTTAAAGACCGATGGAGTGAGGCTAAATGACCGATGGAAATGAGGCTATCGGGCTTTGAAAAAAATGTAACAACATCCAACACGAAGGCAAGAAGGTGGCAAAAATAGCCTAGTCGGAAAACGTTGTCAGTTAATTAGCTGTGCAAGAAAACCAGGTAAGTTTGGGGTTGTTACGGACAATTAACTGTGTCGGCGGGGGGTGGGGCATTTGAGGGCCGTGCCCCCCCTAGCGGCCACTGGTGCCCCACCCCCCAACAGGCCGTTATTATTACTATTTTAAAATGATTTTGATTGGCGCATTTCACTTCGGGCTGAGGACACATTATTTCTAGTTCAGAGGTGTTTTTGACGAGAGGCTGTTGTTTAATGTTTACAACCAGTGGCAGGACTTATTGTTTTTTAATAAACCTCAACCTTTTATTCTTGTCTTGTGTTGTATCGTCTACCACACAGACTCAACAACTATTGCAGCTAATAATAATAATAATCTTAATATAATAATGATTATAATAACAACACATAATTAGCCTAATACTGTTAAAGAAAAACGTGTTTGATAGCATGTCTGCTGTGTATGACTCCACTGTGTTAAAATATTTCTCAAATGCAGTGCCCCCCTGCTGGTGACCCATGCTGACTCTGAACTCTGACAATTAAGAATTACATGAATGAGCTATAGTTTGCATTTTTATTATTGTTTGTATGATTGTGCTAAAATCTAAAATAATCAATCGGCGGATGGCGGGCGGGTGCGGTTTGAAAACCTTCGGTGCAAAATGGATAGCGGGCGGATGATGAGTTTTGTGTCGCGGTTGCGGATGAAAAAATAGCCCATCCGCGCATCTCTACCCCGCACAAATGATCCAATCCAGATTTCTGTTCTACTTTAGAAAGGAGGATGTTCGGCAGTTGACAGGAGGCAGTTGTTGGTTTCCATTTTATTACAAGCTCGTGTGGAAGCTTGACATCCAACTCCGAAAGCTGCTGCAAACACAGACAGTGCACTGGGGCGGCTTCCCAGACAGGTGAGTCCATAGGCACAGAGCCATACTTCTGTTGGGTTAAAGGTTCTATATTAAGCAAAACTGACTCTTGTGAGCTTTCAGTCGTCTTATAACACTGTTACCTCCTCAAAAACGGCTTTTATTATTAGTCTGTCTACATCTCCAAACTTCACAACGCTCTGTTCCGCCTTGTGATGTCAAGTTAATAACTCCTTTTACCTTCAGAGCTGAAATCATCCACGTGATTCTAGTGAAGTTTAAAAACACAGTGGAGCATTTCCTGTATTACCACATGACATTACAAGATGGAACAGAGTGATTTAAGCATGTTTTTAGTGTGTTGTTGTGTGTTAAACGTGTGAATGAAACAAAACACAACTCCAGGTGTGTTTGTGATGTGGAAACAATATTATAACATCAGAATATGGGCCTGTTAGATTTGACCAAAACAATGCAGTTTGATGTGGGTTCTTTCAATAAAACCTTAATGACCTGAAAACCACCAGACCTCTTTCTGCCTCACCTGGACCTGCTCTCCGCTGAAGTCGGTGTAACAGGGTGTATTGGTTTGAATGACTTTCTTAGTCTTGTGCCCAGTCAGTCAGTTTATGAACTTTCAGAACTTAAAGGAGCTTTTCAAAATGGATTAGATTTAAGGAACGATGTCACTTTGAATGGGAAAAACTTGTGCATGTAAAAATAAGCTCTGATACACTTACATGATTGTGTAGTTCTGAAATCAATTTGTAATGTTTGAAAAGCTGATCAATTTATTCATATGATATTGTTTTCTTTTCATTTCTTTTTCTCCTATATAAATTAAATCAAATTATTTATTTTTTATTTCACCTTTTGAAATACACACTCTCAGTCTCACAACTTTTTTTTTTTTCATCAGTTATGACACCTGGATGTCGGCCAATGAGGTGGATGGAGATGTGGAGGATCCCCCGAGCTCTGACCGACCATGGAAGGTGAGGACTGTTATCAACAATGCATCTAAAATCACTTCAGTTCTGTCATTGGTGGTACATCTGTATGTCCTGGGTAGAGAAGTACAGTACTCTCAAAGGGCCTGTACCCAGTTTATCTGTCTGCATCTAATTGTAAAGCATTTTATGGTCAGATTGTCAGGGAGTGTGTGTTAGCATGCTAGTTGGTGGTCTCTTACAAACTCATTGGGGGAATAATTAGGATTCTCTGAGCACATAAATTAAGTGAGGAGTAAGTAACTTAGCCCTTCTGCAGACATTTACTTTTAACCATGTTATAGTTGTTTGTTCTCACGTTTTTAGATATTAAAACTTGTTTTTGAAGTGATGTGGTGTGTAAATTTGAGTAATCTTTTTAATTGCTTATTTTCATAACAATTTTCAATTGCGGATAATTACAGGTCATATCTGTGGCAACCGTGCTCACTGTTAGAAAGCCTGTTTTCTTCTAGTTATTTTTGAGCCATAAAACCTCCTGTAATTGAATAAATGTAGAGTACATCTGTTTAATGTCATACTGTGGGACATTCCAAGTAGAGCAATGATCTATCAATAGAAGCAAGAAGGTGACAGACCCCCCCCCCATCTGAAATGTTACACAGTCCACCTTTAACCATTGTTTTTTAGGTCCATGCCAAGTGGGTGCTGGACACAGACGCCTTTAATGAGTGGATGAATGAGGAGGACTATGAGATGGATGACAACAAGAAGCCCTTCAGTTTCCGCCAGAGGATTTTCCCCAAAGAGGAGGAGGTACCACCACACGCCTTTCCTGTCCTTATGGTCCCTTTGTAGCGCCGTATCTGTCGCATGTACAGTCTGCATGCTTGTATCTAGACACTGTCCGTCGGCCATCTTTTCCTGACTTTTCCTCATGCTTTTGTCTATTGTTGACAGGGTTTCTGTGATAGACTTGTTCTATGCACATAAGCAATAATATTTTAATGGAGAGATTGAGATTCTCATAACTTTGAATCATGATGAGCTGAGGTCTTTTTAATGGAGAGGTTCACAGTCCAGAAGGCTTTTTTATGAAGACAATACAAGGAAAAAACATGATTAATTTTGCTGTCTCTATAACGTTCTCTGTGCAGGATGACGAGGAGCAGGGCAAAGGTGAAACAAACCGCCTGCTGGACTCCGGAGAGGACAACGTGACCGAACAAACCCACCACATCATCGTCCCCAGCTACGGCGCCTGGTTCGACTACAACTGGTGAGTGTCCAGCAGAGGGCAGCATCATGTAAAAAAAAAGTTGTAATGATTGGTCAAATAATCATGACTCGTCCACTACACAAGCCTGACACAATAACTACTATATCGACTCATTGTTCTGAGCTCAATATCATGTGTACTTTTACTTTGAGAGGTTTATTTATTTACTTTTATGTGATACGAAAGGATTTGTGCTTTAGAGGGTTGAATAAGTCACTTCTATGGGAAATTACTGCTTCGTTCGGCTATTTATTTGTTACAACTTTGGCCTTTTAATAATGCGGTGTGACAGGCTTAGACATAATCGTAGTTGTCTTTTCATGATCTCATTAACACACACACACAGGGCTGGGTGATATGGAGCAAAAAATATATCTCAATATATTTTTTCTATATCTCGATATATGATAATATCCTGATATGTGTACAGGAAAAATAAACTCCCAAAACTACTGCAAAAACAAATATGACAAATTTCACAAGGTCTTTTTTACTGAAGTGCAAGGGTAGGCAGTTCATGTAGGAACAAAATGCTTCTGCCACATTTAAGATTATAAAAATCCCATATCACATAAATAATAATTTAACTGTAAAATGAAAGAAATAATACATATTGCCTTCTTTTCATTCATAAATAAAACAACTCAGCTCAAGCTCATCTTTGCATTAACTCTGTAACCGTACAATAACCTTGAGCTCCTTTAGCAGAGGAAGCTCAGGAGGTTCCTTATTTTAACAGATCCATGTTCCTCACCAGTGTAAGGAGCTCTGAGGTTTCCCACAATCCACTGCAGATCAAACCCAACGTGTCCAAACACTATTGTTCAAGTTACACTGCAGCAGATTATTCATTAAAATCTTCTGCATAAATAAACTTCACATGACTAAACTTTACAGCAAATAAATCTTAACGATTATAGATCAGCCCGTTTGAGATTATAATGTGTTTAATGCAGTTTTGCCACATGTGTTTACATTTTATAGAAACAAAACCGCATGGCTCATTTGCATAAACAGCGTGCTCCATGTGCTGCTGATGTGGTTCAGCTTCTTTCGGACTAAATGACACGACTCAGTGGAATATGAGGATGTGCTGCTGATGGTCTTATCTGTAAATGGTGGAGAAGTTTTGTGGTGCTTGAAGCTTTTCACTGGCACCAACTTTCAGCATTCACGGTGGTAGTGAGGAGTGAATGAGACACAAACAGCAAAATCAGGGAGGCGGGGGCCTGCAACCACAGAGAAGGCAAACAAGCGAAGTGGCGAAATCAGAATTGAATATAAGCGTCATATCAATATATAGGATATGTGAGAATCCATATCAAGTTTAAAAAATATCTCCATATATTTAAAATATCGAGATATTGCCCACCCCTGCACACATATATATATATATGTTTCATATATACACATGAATAGCTGAATGAACCAATAATTAGACATAGAAGTGACTTATTCAACCCTCTAAATCACAAATCTTTTTGTATTACAAGTAAAATGATAAAAATGTCCCTCGAAAAGCAAAGGAAATGTCCACATGATAAATATTGAGCCCCAAAATATTGTTCCAGCTTTCATATTTTGAACGATAAGTTAATATAGTAGTTATCGTCTGTGTATATAAAAGGGATATGGATTAAAATTATACTTTGCTTCTCATCCACTAGTATCCACGAGATCGAGAGAAGAGCCCTTCCTGAGTTCTTCAACGGCAAAAACAAGTCTAAAACCCCAGAGATGTGAGTGGTGGATCTCATTATGTCTGACTGTGTTTTGCCGTACGTCTGACTGTTCTCTCATGTGCTCAGATACCTGGCCTACCGTAACTTCATGATTGACACGTACCGACTGAACCCCCAGGAGTACCTCACCTCCACCTCCTGTCGCAGGAATCTCACCGGAGACGTGTGCGCCATCATGAGGTGAGCTGCTGCTTTTCAGGCCAACTCCCCTAGTTGGCACTCTTCACTCTCCCAATGATACTGCGCAGCCGCACAACGAGTACCGTGTTTAAGTCTCGCGAGATTAAAGCATTATGGGAAATGAAGGCTAGTGATGGGACTTTTGGTTCTTATGGGATCTGCTCTTTTACTCGCATATTATTTATATGACAGAAGCCAATATATGTAACAGGATTAGGGTGACCCGATTTTCAGAATTAAAAACACACACCTGGGTTGGGATAGATAAAACTGTGAAAAGAGCACATAACATTGTCCATTCTCAACTCACTTGTGGGTCAGTCATAATCTGAGGGACTATCATTGCTTTTTTTAAAAATTGTAATTTCTATATTTTAGCTAAACAAATGACAGCAAATTCCCCTCTTTACTGTTGGTGGGGATCAAATTGGTCAGAAATGGGGACAACTGGAACATTTCTTGTATAAAACTGGAACAAATCGCTTGTTTTGTGGTTTGGCATAAATTTGCTGGGACGGGGATCTCATTGCTTAAAACTGGGACTGTCTTGGGTAAATAAGAAAGTCTAGTCATTCTAAACATGAGATAACTAGATACATTTTTAGTGCTCAAATGTCTCAAACGTAATTCTTGTGTTTTTTCAGCTTCAAATCAGTATAAAATGCATAAAACTATAAAACTAGAAAGAAAAGGATTTGGATCTTTTAAATAATGAGATCCGACTTCAACTGTTTTAAAAAAAAATCTTTAAAAAAAAAAAAAAAAGACTGCATGAACACATTGTACAGAAACATCAATAAAACAGCATTATAAAGATTTGTATTGTATCCTATCACAGTTTGTATCTTTATTATTGTGACTATTTATGTGTGATTTATCTAACCAGGAACTCACCTGCAAGCTAATTATTTGTGTATGTTTACTATTTTCTGCATTTTCTATACATGCAGAAGACATCAAATATATGAAGTAAGATACAGTCGTGGACAAAATTGTTGGTACCCCTCTGGTAAGGAAAGAAAAATCAACAATTTTCACTGAAATAACTTGAAACCGAGAAAAGCAATAATAAATAAAAATTTCTTGACAAATAACCAATAAAAATCAGACACTGTTTTTGAATTGTTCTTCAACAGAATTATTTAAAAAAACAAACTAATGAAACTGGCTTGGACCCCTAGAAAAGATTGTAAATACTTGGTCAACAGGGACATGTTAAACTTAGGTGTCTCCAATCTGCATCACTGGTTCTTCAAACTTGTCCTCAGTCAGTCTGTCTGTTTAAAGAACGACATGTGTCATTGTGCTGTTTGGAGACATGATGGACACAACACTGAACATGAACCAGAGAAAGAGAAGAAGAGAACTGTGTCAGGAGACTAGAAAGAAAATGATAGACAAGCAGGTTAAAGATAAAGACAATAAGACCATCTCCAAGCAGCTTGATGTTCCTTTGATTACAGTTACACATGTTCTTCAGAAGTTTAAGGTCCACAGGACTGAAGCCAACCTCCCTGGACGCGGCCGCAAGAAGAAAACTGATGACAAATTGAAGAGATGGATCATACGAATGGAGACAAAGAACCCAGAACAACCTCCAAACAAATTAAATGTGAACTCAAAGGGCAAGGTACATCAATGTCAGATTGCACCATCCATCACTACAACAAACAAGTGGACTTCACGTGAGGACACCACTGTTGAGAACAAATCATTAAAAAGTGTGACTGGAATTTGCCACAGTGCATATTGACAAACCGCAAAGCTTCTGGGAGAATGTTCTTTAGACAGAGGAGACAAAACTAGAGCTCTTTGGCAAGGCACATCAGCTCTATGTTCACAAATGCAAAAATGAAGCAGACCAAGAAAAGAACACTGTCCCCATTGTGAAGTACGGAGGAGACTTGATTTTGTTCTGGGGCTGTTTTGCTGCATCTGGCACAGGGTGTCTTGAATCTGTGCAAAATACAACAGAATCTCAAGACTATCAAGGTATTTTGGAACGTTGGAATGTGTTGCCTAGTGTCAGAAAGCTTGGTCTCGGTTGTAGGTCATGATGACCCAAAACACTCAGCTAAAAACACCCAAGAATGGCTAAGAACAAAACATTGGACTGTTCTGGAGTGTCCATCTGTGAGCCCAGATCTCAATCCTACTGAACATCTGTGAAAGGAGCTGAAACATGCTGTCTGGAGAGACACCCTTCAAACCTGAGAGAACTAACAGTTTACTCACGGGAAATGAGTCAAAATACCTGTTGACCAAAGCAGAAGTCTCAGTGACATGACTGTAATCATCTGTTGCAGAGTTTATCTCAAAAGGTTGTGCAACAAAATATTAAGTTAAGGGTACCATCATTTTTGTCCAGGCCAGTTTCATCATTTTGTTTTTTCTAATAATTCTGTTGAACCACAAGTGAAAAACAATGTTTGATTTTTGTTGGACAATTTTCAGTAATGTTTTATTTATAATTGCTTTTCTCAGTTTCAAGTTATTTCAGTGATGATTGTTGATGAAAAATTTTGTCCATGACTGTATATGAAATTATTTAGCAAAGGAAAAAAAATCTATTTGATCTTCAAATCCTCAAAGTAGCCACTGCATAAGTCCATACATCCTGCTATATCTTTCTTCATCTATTTGGTGTCTTCTGTATGTATAGAAAATGTAGAAAGTATTAAAATTAAAGACCAAAAAAAAAAAAAATGAATGAGAATGAGTTTATCCTTTTACAATGAGTTTATTACAGTTATGAGTCAGACACTAACTCACTTTATCAAAACTGTGAAAAAGCAACAAAAAGGAAACTCATTATTGTTTTTCACTTCTTTCTTCATCTTTCTCCCTTATGTTCCTCCTTTTTTGTTTCATTAGTCTATTTTTATATGTCTGTTTTGTTATTATTAATCTACTCATACACACACACTCCCAAACAAGAACAACAGTAGCAATTTGGTTTGTCAGTCAAGTGAAAGGCTACTTTTAAATAAGATCCATCCCCATGCAGAATGTTCTGAAGTATGGTAAGGACAAGTAAGAGACAGGGCCTGAAGCCCATAAACACATCTGACAGGAGGATATGGGAAAACAATACACACCAGTAGAGGGCAGATTCTTGAAATACTGATACTGTGAATGTTGTTTTGAAGATATGGGGTATATATTTCAGCATTTGGTTGGTAATTTTACTAGGGGTGTCAAATTATCGCGTTAATTGCGATTAATTAATTACAGTCATATTTAGCGCGTTATGTTTTTTAATCGCGTTAATCTCATTTTTAATCTCTAACATTAGTGTTTCTGTATGTGAGTTGCTTTATTATAAAACCTTTTTTAATGTGTTGTTGGGACAACAACACACACACACAAAAAAAACACATTTATACATTTTTTTATTTCGGTAATTCCACTCATTGCCGGAAACCCGCACAAAACGTGCGCAGTAAGAGCGATGTAACGTCATGTTAACGTTGGCGGCGTCGAAGAGACAGTAGAACAGAGTCAGCAGTGCACAGGTAAAAACGCATTCGTGTCTTGGAAATTATTTTCCCGACGTGAAATATAAAACAAAATAACAAATATAATATCGCCTACAACTTAAATGTCACTGGTGAAAACAACCTGCATAGACTCATGATGTCTCCACTACTGTCCTATAGTGACCTGCCACATGAGGGGACACGCACACAACACACACAAACAAACACACACAAACACACACACACAAACACACACAAACACACACCTTCATCATCGTCATTAACCTGAGAACGCGCGGACCACGTTTCCTTCCGTAGTTACTGCGCGGACACCGACGTGCTCCCGTGAGCCGCGTGTGGATCGTGTTTTCTCGCGTACGCGGCGTAAACCGCGCTTCCTCCTGTGCGCCTCTAAACCAGAACTAACACCAAGACTAAAACCAGGACTAAACCAGGTCTAAACCAGGTCTAAACCAGGGTCTAAACCAGGACT